TATTGTCAACCTTAATTAACAAACTCAACACTTAATGATGAAAATAAACCTAAGATATAACTGGTGAGTTTTGAATAGAACTAGCGTTAAGCTTAAAGCAAATTATTATTCAGTACATAATGCGTGTTATCTTTTAATTAACAAAGTCATCAGTATGTAATTTTGTGAGGTCCGACACCACGACTTTTACTTTTACTGGTTCTCCAGTTGATATCGATCTGTAATGAAAGTATCTTCATAATTTTATTGAATAAAAATACTGACTGAACCAAGAAGTTTTATACAAAAATTCCACCAATAAGTTTTAAATTCACTCACAGTTTTACCAGTTTATTTATTAACTTAACTCGTTTATAGGGTACAAATTCGTATACTTGTCTTTGAGACATAGATTTATTAGGAGAGTTAATGGAGTTATCCGACTCTCGAAACCGAAACAAATGGATAAGGTTTAAAATTCATGACGTATTAGCTGTTAGTCAAACACTTTCATCACAGGTTCACTTTTTCACTAGTTAATATTAATTCATGCATACAAAACCAAAAAACAGCTGAAAAGGGCATCACGTAGTAAGCAAGTTTATCCTGTGAATATGCAGTAAAGTGCAATAAATTTCAACTCACAATTTCTTCATTAATTAATCCTATAAAAAGTTATCTGGTTCAGCTCTCATTATAGTTACAAATTTCTGTGTATGATTTACTGTAACGTACTTGTATGTATAACTCCGACCGGAGCCCCTCTGGGGCTACTGCCGGTCCTAAGCCCGGATAAAGGAGGAGGGTTGGGCATGGGGTTGTCGCCCCCGTCCCGTAAAAAATCTAACTCGCTAAAAATACGCTTACCAGAAAAAAATTATTCAAATCGTTTAAACTCTGCCCTGGAAGTTAGGTTTTCATTTACAAGAGTTATGACGCCTCATGGTGAAAGCCGAGTTCCTTCAGAAGTCACGAGACTGATGCCCCTTCCGACAACAAGAGAAACCGATTATTTAGACACATGGAATTCTCGTACAATTTGGGAGACCGGGAGAGTCTTCCAAATTGCTGCACTTGTATGTATATTATATGTAAATGTGGAATAATGTATAAGGTTTTCATAGGATAGTTAATGTATACAAGTCAAAATTCATTTAACCATTATATCGATCTGAAGTTTATTCTCATACCAAAAGATCAAATTTAGAGATAAGTTCTTTTAAAAACAAAAATCGAACCATCTAGATTATCCAACAATTGAACATATTTTCCTAGTTTATCTAGATTATAGTAATGCACTAATCAATGAACATTAATAACAATGTATTGAATGATTTACCCTTTTCATATACATACATGATGTGTTAGAGTGAACATAATTACTGAAAAAGTGTGATACGATGAATTCATGTTAGTCCGTGAATTGCCATCATTCGCCTATGTTTGTATGTACTTTGAAGAACAACATGAAAAACACTACTTAAAGATTACATCTGCTGCAAAGTTTCATGCTGTTATGCAACTACCAAATGACGTCAGACACGCTGTCGAAGAGTCATTCATTCTGACTCGCGTTTTATGCAGTGAATTGACAAAAACCAGTAAATACTTATCAGAGGTTGGTATTTTTAATAATCGGTTGTGCATTTTATTAATAATTACTCAAGGAGAGAAAAAAACTGGAGGAATAATTTTCGTATGTTCACTTCACTAGATAAGTGTTCTAGATTTAACTAAACAGGTTTATTATTATAAGAAAAGATGAATAGTGGACAGTAGTGGAATCCAGGACGCGCGTCTCGTCTTATTTGGAACTCATCAGCTGGATGTACTTGCATCTCAGTGTTGGTTACACTACTAATCACCATCCATCTTTGCTTATAATGCTTATGACTCAAGGAATACGCACAGCATGCACATACGCCAATGAGAGACTGATTAATTGCAGTCCTAAACATCAATGGGAAGATTTAAACAAAGAATGCAAAAATGAATTAAGGTTTATTAATAATAATGGTGATGAAGAGATGGGAATCAAGGGAAAATTTAGTGCAAAATTTTATAGAAATTCGCGATCAATTGTATCCATAAACTTGGAAGAATTAACAACAGATTGACTAATCAAGTATATCGACAACTGAGTTGAAATTACACAGAATATTTAAGCGCAATTTTTATTGTTGGATAGTAGGAGGTATTTGGTGCAAGGTCATAGATCTAGGTTTCGTGAGAGACCAAACTTATTATTTAATTAAATACGTATTTCTGATCGATTGGATTAAATATATCAACCCAAATAACATTAGTATCGACCCGAATACCTTGATGGTGGCACTGCTGAAACGACAATGATGGCATCCGTTCGAAACCTACTTGGAAAATCGCTTCGCACTAGGATAAAAAATACCTGGCTCGTAAATGCGAATCATCAAAAAAAAATATTTGTAGTACTCCAACCATCTACTTCCTCTGGACAACACACACATTATGTCTTTCCATCAGACAGAAAACATATTTTAAACGAAATTTTGAATTAGTTGACAAACTAGAACAAGAGACTAGAGATTGGAGGTAATGTTGTCGGTGAAGTATTCAGCAGACGTTGACCATGTTCAAGTAGTACACCCAACTATTGTAACTGGAACAAAATACTTTTGATGTTTAACTGAATAAGGCTGATATGCTTTGATATAAGGAAAAATGTGATACTACAAACGATTTTAATATGCAACAATAATAAGTCCACAATTGATTCAATAGCCAAATTATCACTAACTAATAAACTTCATTGACTGGTTTAGCCATTTTCATATATACATATTAATGTTTTTGTACATAAAAGGTTGATGAAAGTCTAATTGAAAAAAATATGTTTTCTTATATGTTGTTCGGACTTTGAAGGATTTAACTGGAAGCCGTGAACATAAACCATTATTAATTTAATGTGTATACAATTTACAACGTTAACGGACTAAACAGCGTTAACTAACAATTATAGCTAAATTATTGGATAATATATCTACTCCTTGCAAACATCTACTTCACGTTCATTCAGTTTGAACAACTAGAAATAAAGAAAAACTTCAGTGATTTTTCCTTTTACATGTAAAACGATCAGTTTAGCTGATCCAGATGTGTTACGAGAATCAGTAACAAAATCCGTACGACCACTCTTTCAAGTTGCGAACTCCTTGCTTCGCGTATAGAGAAAAGACAATTAAGTCAATTTAATTTACTACCTGACAGATACAATACACAGGTAATCCAAGTAAATTTTTTTGAGTTATTTAAAGGAGGCCATGTATTTCGCTGTATGGTTTCTATATATGTATACAGAATCAATTTTAGCAAGCTAAATCTGAGTTCAACAAAAATTAAACCATAAGTCTTCACGATCTCCGCCAAGAATATTGATTAACCTTTCATCTAATACTTCATTCAATAAACTATATATAGTTAATATAAACTTGTCATTCACTTCATTTCCCAGCTATCGATCTTAATTTATAACGTAACTGTTGATAACACTCTCATCATTTGTAAGCTGCCTGACTGTAAAATGGTAAGCATTAAATGATATATTAAAGAATACTTCTGAATAACATAATTATGTTGTTTGACTTTATCTTGGAAATATTTCTTTTACCATTAATTATAAATATAACTCTGAATTCGTAATATTGTTGTGTATTGATTTTAGGTGGCTAGAGGTAGTCGGTGCTTGTCTATAGAGTATATGTGTAATATTAGGGGAACCGGTGCTCCCTAACGGATCTGAATGGGGATCACCTAGTTTAACAGTCTGAAATGTTAACACTAAGCCATCTGGGTGGTGAGTGATCTCCTGTAGAACTGGGATATTTACACTGAGTGATCACAGTAATGGCCAATGTCAAGTTTATCTAGTCCTTTAGTACTGATCAAATTATAGTGCGGTCACCAATCTAAGTAACTCAAGATCACATGTACCGCTATGTAATTTATCCCCTAATATAAATGATATTGCATTTAGTAGAATGATAAAATCTATAAGTTACACTGAAGTCATTATAATAAGCAAGTTGAAAACAAGTAATTATTCATACGCAATTCTGTCGTTTTAAGTTTCTGCATAGACATTAAAACAACCATGTTTAATTCGTCTTTCATGACAAAAATACAAATAATCCATAGTTCTGAACAGATTAATTTTAAGTGAGTGATAACAATAACTCATTGGTTTACTAAAAAGTTTATTACTACTTAAATTTCAATAATTAAGTAGTAAGACTTAACTCAAGAAAATACTATCATTTTATCATTATATATGTCATGGAACTACTGAAAAGATTGTTTGTGGTTAACATTCATTACGTGGTAGTTTACAAAATTTTCTGATATCAGATGAGTTATCATCTTTTAAAACATTTACTTAACAATAGTTGAACAAGTCACACTGCACCAAAAGATAGTTGGGATATTAGTACAGAGGTGTTGCAAAGATTCGTACGTTTAAAGTTAGACATCACGAATTGTCATTGGTAGGCGAGTAAATGTAAACCAGATAGAGAGTTCTTAACTGTTGTTTGTCCTATTTTTTCATACTAAATAGAAGTGTGAAACCTTCATTGGACGTTAAATCGATCTGACAACCTTTGAATACTCGTGAGGAACAATCCAAATTATCTTCACTTCTGAATTCAGTTAATCATCAAACTGAGCAAACATAATCAACTAATGTCATCTTAGATAACTATTTCGTGCCTGACATGGTTGAATGCTACCATCTACTGTTTTTCACTTGAGACTTAAAATTAGCCTACTCACTGAAAGATCTGAAAATCTTAGGTTTGATAAAAAAAAGAGAATTGTGAGTGAACTCTGTTGCTTAGTGGTAACCTAGCAGGTTCCTGTTCCTAGATTTTCACTCGGTTAGTTCATGATGTGAACAATTACGAAACGTTTACTAAAACTAATGTTTGTCTTTTTATTCTATCAACAAATCATCGTAATTTCAGAATAAACATTATAAAAAAACTTACCAGTCATTGTTGTAAACGCTGAATTCGATTCCATTGAATCACTATTTCCATTCACTGTTGGATCAAGCCAATATATACATGAATATTCAGCAAGACGATTAGCGCAATAAGTTAATAGATCTTTTTCAAAATGACCAGTTCTTAAAAATTGAAATAAACTCATATTTAATGTTAGAGGTTTGATCATTTGTGGACCATCTTGAGCCATATTTATACCACCAGCTTTAATTCGTGCACTTCCTCTGACCATTTTATTTCAGATACAATTATTAATAATTATATTATACAATATGAGAAAAAAAGATAACTCCTCTAATTTAATTTTCATAAACGAAGTTTTATCATGCTCATCTTCAACTGTCGAATAATTTTTTTTAATTCTTTTATCAAAAAGTATATTTTCACATTCAATAATCAAAGTATTTAAATCATCTTCAAATTAAATTTTGATTGGTTAATAAATTGGGTTTTTTTCGAAAGGGGGTTAGATAGACAAACACACACATTAAACATATAATATTTAACTTTTTATGTTTGTTTTCTATGCTTTGATTTTTAACTGACCAATTAGAAAGTTCTATTAGCAATGAGACATCAGTCAATTTGTAGTCATAGTAATCAGAACTTTTACTCAAATGTGGTTATCTTTAAAACAATCAGAAAATTAGTTTATTTAAATGAAATTCTCTTAAAATCTAGCAGAAGATCATTTGAACTATTATAAAATAAAAGGATGATTATTTTTAGAAGGGGATTTTTATGGGGATTTTAGTAATTTTAATAGTTGAGATCATGAAAGCACTAGACTGCCGTTTCGTCCTTGTATGCACATTGTTGAGGAGACATATACTAGGATGAAACGGCCGCCCAGTTCTTCCATGTTTTTCAGTGGTCTAGCTTCAATTGACTCATGATCTCAACCATAAAATTAATAAAAGGATAAGTTAAAATGATCATTGTTAAAAATAAAAGGTTTGATTAGGAGTTGAAATTCTTTTTCTCAATACCTACCATGATCATAAACTGTATTCCCTAATGTGATTGATAACACTAAATTTTAGTTTACATATAGTAACGATTGTTTTTGCCTTACCAAAACAGAAGGAAAGAGTTAGAAGAGGGTGACTTTTAAAAAAATAACAGTAAGGTCTGAAACTAATACATCTAGAACTACTGACAAAATAACCCAGTGTGACTCGCCGATAATAAAAAATCCGAAAGATGGAGATATATGTTGTTGACTTCCCATTGTTTTTATATGTTCCTTCACTGAATCCAACTCAGATGGAGTGAAGATGAGTTTTACAAGAAGATTTCCTACCTCCTCTAAATAACCAAGTGCTTATATATAATAATCCTGGTAAGTAACCTCAGCAACCGTGTTGATATGCCAAATCAAGCTGAAAAACGATTAGATGGGTCTTTTAGCATCCCGGGACATATAATGGTGACCAACTTCAGAACTAGAATTTCTATGAGTTCTACTGGACATAAAAATATTACGACAGAATGGTCTCTTAGATATTAAATCGAATAGGCGAAGGTTGAGGATGAACTCAGTGATGAATCAACCAAGCATTCAGTTCAGTAGTGGGTGACGAAGGAAAAATACAATACATTGCACCAGACAAATGTTTAAACTCATCAATGAAAATGGCATTAGGAATTCAGGTATTAGCGAGACCGTTTTGGAGGAAGATAGCGCAATTATCCATTCTCAATCCAAAGAACTTAAAAGATCGATAGAACATTAAGGAATGGCTGAACTATGTTACATGCTAGCTCGAAACGACCTAAATAGGGATTCGACACAAGTTTACAACTCTTAGTGAAGATAGAGACCATATCTAACTTGAATTGAGGAAATGCAGCAGATTCTGGTACACTGACTCCACTTGTCTTTGAGAATGTCGGTTCAGTTTTAGCAGTATAGCTAAAGCTTGAGAGAATCTCGGACAATAAGTCTCAGGATCGAACTCCTCTCCACCTACTTCCGTTTGGACAACCTAGTAATACCACTAGCTCTCACACAGTGTGGCTTATACTCAAGTACTGGTGAATGAGTTAATTAAATCTCTGACAGTCCTAGTTTTTAAGAAAGCATTAAAATTCACTTATGACAACGATAGAGGAAATTCATTTGACTAATATAGTGTCTAAAATATCAGTCTATATAATTATCTAATGCTTGGGAAAACCAATCTGCTCTTTGTCCTGGACGTGGATTTACTGATAAAAAATTCAGTCTTCCTCAGCTTCTAGAATACAAGGATACTTACCGGCTTACAACTATGATTGAATTTTTGACCCTAAGACGGAATTCGACTTCGTTAACTAAGAGGTTTTGTGACAGTGTTGTCATTAAAAAATGTACCAAAGAAATATATCAATCTTGTAAAGGCTCTCTACTCTAACACTACTAATTAAAATTTAGCCTGTGGAAAACTATCATTAGAATTGATAATATAAAGTGACATTCTCCAGGACAGTCCTCTAGCCCTCCTAATTTGATTCCAACATAGATGTCCTCATAGAAAGATTAATGTCTTCTCTACTGATACGGTTATCAGTAGAATAAGGCTCCAATAAGTACGGAACTAAAACGAAAATTACTCCCTCGACTCTAGCTCAAGTTCAGAAAGATATAACTAATATAAAACGAGGAAGAGCAGCTGATTCAGATGGATTAGCTCCAGTGGGTTTTAAAGATGGACGTAATCCCATCTGACTGATCGCAATCAATAATTGTCCCAATATATAAGGGTCAAAATCATCCTGTGATAACCATAGAGGGATTAATTTGACTAACATAACATCTCAAATAATAGCATTAATAATTTTCGGGAGCCTAACAAAGGTTCGTGAACTGCAAACATGAGAAAAACACACTGGCTTCAGACCTGGTCATGGCTGCATCGACCACATATTCACAATTCGTCAGTTTCTAGAACACAGGGATGCTTATCGGCGTCCGACATTGGTGGTCTTTCTTGGCTTAATAACGGCATTTGACTCTGTAGACCAGGAAGTTCTGTGGCGGTGCGTCAGTGAAAGGCGTACTTCAGAAGTATATAAACCTTGCGAAGGCTCTTTTTTTTAACACTATTAGTCGAATCAGAGCTTATGGCGAACTGTCATCTGATTTTGCAACCTAAAGCGGTGTCCGTCAAGGCTAACCACTATCTACCTTTTCATTCAACTTCATCATAGACCTACTGACGGAAATAACATTCTCGTTGACTGGATTTTAGGGCATCGATCTCCTACCAGAGGTCCACTTATCGACTTAAAATACGCAGATGATATAGTCCTGTTTGGTGAAGACGCTGATACAATACAGTCTTTTGGTAGCACTGAGCAACAATGCCAGGATACTTGGGATGCGCTGCTCTCCCTCTAAATGCAAGCTGTTGCTTCAGAACTGGTCTGCGTCAACACTTGAAATAAGGATAGGGAGTGAAGTAGCAGGACGCGTCGACAACTTCATTTATCTAGGATGTTTGATTAGCCCTAATGGGTCGGTGTCTGATAAAATCTCTACACGTATCCAGAAAGCTCGTTTGGCTTTCGTGAACCAACGTCACATATGGCGAAGGCGAGATATCCATCTATCAATTAAGGGACGAGTAAACTGAGTAGCGGCCTGTTCTGTTCCAACTTACGGCTGTGAAACGTGGACATTAAGAGTACACGATACTCGTTAGCTACTAGGATTTGACCACAGATGTTTTAGAAATATTGCACGCATCTACTGGGATCACCTGGTAAGTAGTAGTGAGGTTAGACGCAGAGTTTAGGGAATGATGGTAAATCAGTTGATGAGGTTATGAATCTTCATCGACTAAGATGATTGGGCCATGTGTTACGTATGTCTGAACACCGATTACCACGACGCGCAATGCTAGCTGGTGTTGGTTGGAAGAAAGTTAAGGTCAGCAAAAAACGAGAACGTGGCATCAGTGCTTGAAGTCACTAACTTCTAGTCTGAGGCATGTTGGTAGATTCAGAATACGTGGTTGGGGTCCGCGTGACTATCGTAACCAATGGTTGGAGACTCTTGGTGACATGGCTCAGTATCGATCACAATGGCTTAGGTGTATACACCCGATGTCTTCCCTTAAACTAAGAGATTAAAATCGCTTCACATCTTTCTTTCTACTAACTAATTCTTCCTTTCTGTACTATATCCTTACATCAAATCTTTTCTTTATTTATTACGCCATTGGGTTAACTGCTTCTTTGAATCCGGTATAGCAACTTGGACCAATGAATGTATGTGCCTGGTCCTACGTTGTAACTGACTGACTAACCAATATGCTCACTAAGTTCTCTGACGTTCATTGGTTGATTCAAATCTTTGCTATCCCCAACCTACCCAGTCAGAACATAGGAAAGCTAGTCGACCTTCTTTGCAGTACTATGAACCATATGATACTATGCAACACTGGTGGTGCAATAAGCATTTTCTCCTCATTACTCATACAGCTCTTTCACATGTTCTTAACCACTTAGTTTGACATTATTATTGTTTATATAATGAATATGTGATTAGATCGTTCAAAGATACGTTGTGCTAATAAACATTATATAGTTCTGCTAAAATCCATCTTCTCATCGCACCACTCAGACAAGTAAAATCACTTTTTGCAATCAACGAGCAAAACCATTCTACGCTTCAGTGATCACGTTTTAAAGCAAATCCTCACCACGAAATGACTTCAACCGCAGAACTGTTGAAAACTAAGAAGTACTCGATAGCTAATTTTTCTACGTTTTTAGACATTTTAATAGTCAAATGCAGTGTAAGACCTGATCCATATATGTACACACGACTGCAGAAGTTCAATTTTAACGAGATAATATTAACAAGATGGAAAGTAAAAGACTGTAATCACATTTGTAGTGGATGTGAGTAGTACTTGTTTCAACCAACTTAATCGGTGACTTAAGAAAATTATTAGCTAGTTTACACTCCACAGATATACTTCCTGTATAGATTTATTATACACGAGTCATGCCTCGAAGCTACTCATAATCAAGAAATTACACCTTACGCAACTCTTGTTTTCATGTAATGTATTTCACAATAAACTTCTGAGCAGTATATCCGGTTTTTGACAAGTATACAGATAATAAGAGTTCAATAATTTGATTCTTTATTAAATGTGTGAAGTCATTAAATTCTGGTCTGAGCCATGTTGGTAGATGCAGACTAATTGGTTGGGGTCTGCACGACTATCGTAACCAGTG